GTTACTGTGTGAGCACCGCATGTAGTATCTGTCAGCATTAGCAGTTCTTAATCCCAACTGCTCAAAAACACTGTGTTGTTTTAAAAATACTGTTAGCCAGGCACCACTGTCAATGATTTTGTTTTAATTAGTCTAGGTTGATGCCTGAATTTTAGTGTTTGGGGTTTTTTTTCCCCCAACATTTTCTCATGTGATTCTAATATGCAGCCATAAGTAAAACCACTGGCTGTATTATTTTTAGATCAAATATTACATCTGTTTTTCAGTATACATGGGATATAAAATAATACTTGAAAAGTCATACATAGTTATGCCAAAGAATAGCTTGAAACAAGTGTGAAAATCTTTAAAATAAATGCATTTGTATGGAGAGCATTAGTAATGCTATTCATTGCTTACTTTTCTGTCACATACCTGACAATTAAATAACCAGCTAATATCTGTATTGTTCACCACAATTGTTGACTTTTTTCATCCTCTTCTTTTAGAGCAAATTCTGTGTAGAAGGAATTTCCTGCTGATTACTTTGGTCCTTTCTCTTTCTTACAGATTTCCTTGGGCAGAGACCACTTTTTTCTGAAAGAATCGAAATCATATAAACACTTTAAAATATACCAGTTACTAGTACCTTTCTTTAAGAATAAATAGGTATAAAGGATTTATTTCCCAGCCCCACTTTTTTGTAAGGAGGTACTATCAACAATGATATCGTGCATCAGTGTTACTTCTTTTTACATGTAAGCAATGTGCTATACCTATAGTTATGTGATTATATTTTTGAGCAACAGAAACTTTGAACACGTGCATAAGTGAACGGAGTTCAATACTTTTTATTCCTCATTCTATGATGCACAGTAGACTCAACAGCAGAAGTTCTGGGTTGGATTCTGACAACCAGATCCGTCCTCTTTTCCTAATCCTTTGCCCACGACTGTGATGTCCACGGACCTCTAACATTTTTCCTTTCCTTCTTCTCACCCCCAGGAGGTCTTAAACTTCAAATTCTGCCATTTCTACCTCTTATTCCCTGATGTCCTGGGTATTAGAGTATAAAAGGGAGCAGCCTATCTGAGCCACAAGTTTGAAGATGGCCTACCAAGCATTCACTATTCTCTGCTGATGGAGTGGGAAGGATTGAGGTGGTTGGTAGTATATGCAAATAAATGGCATATTCAGAGCAGCTGGGTCTTTGGCATGTCAGTATCTTGTTGCTAGGGGCACTAGACTGGTATAATTTCTGGAACAAATAGAAAACTGACAACTCCAGAATAACTCTCTACCTTTTTATTGGAATCATTAAAAAGCAGGGCTGTAGCTTTTCATTGTGCAGTTAGGTAAAGGGCCTAAAATACAATTTACCTTGGAGAAACAGAACTTTAATAAAATGCCTGGTAGCATTATTTACTGAAAGCACATCACTTTTTTTCCCCAGTGGAAAATAAATTATTAATAGAAATTCAAAGTTAAAATAAATCTGTGTGGAATGTGGGATGTTTGGAGCAGGAGGAAGGTGCTATAGGGAAAGTCCGGAGAAAAGACTCTGTCAGCCTCAGCTGAGTACTAAAGACTACATGGAGTGGTGTGCAAGTGTATTTTTATTTCACTTAATGGCATTTAGGTCCTCCTTCACACTGAAGAGCTTTGGGAAGTTTCTGTTACATTCACATGATAGTATTCTGATTCCTGCATGAGTCTTTCATGATTTATAAATAGTTAAACATTGCAAATAGCATTTTTCTATTGATTATCCTTTTTCGGGTACATTATAGGTGAGTTTACACCTGAGATGCAGGTGAGAATTCGACAAGAGATTGAGAAGGAGAAAAAAGTGGAGCCATGGAAGGAACAATTCTTTGAAAGCTACTATGGTCAGAGGTAATAATATTAAGACAGGCTCTGTAAACCAGATGCTAATTCCTGCATGTATGTCATGTGATGCTTTATCTCATTACCTTAACAGGAAATCTAGTCCTTGATTTCCTTCTTTTTTTATTTTACCAGTTCTCCCTTAGAGAGAAGGTTTTTTTCTTATGAATCACAGGTACACAGAATTGGATTACTCATAATCTTTGACCTACAACATACTATTATTGTGGGTAGAATGGATTCTTTTTTAAAAAAAATTTTTTCTAATCTTGAATTAAGAGTCCCTTTTTTTTAATAGGTTGGCTTCCAGTAAGTTTATAAGATAAAAGAATACTGAAGTTCTGTCCATTTTTTATGGTTGTCACAGATATAACTATCCAGAATCACCAAGGAATCCCAGGAATCCTATAATATGGACCATTATACTCAACATGTAATTAAACAAGCTCTCCTCTGTAAAAGGCACCTGGGAAAGTACATAGCTGGATCAGGATACAAACCCTGTTCTAAAGGGGCTATAGTCTAAACTTTTTTCCTAAGAAGTCCAAATAAAATCATAATGGGGATATTTAAATGATTATCATGGAGCTGTTTTATTTGAAATAGGATTGAACACCCACACTTCTACTTGTTAGTTAGTCTCCCTTCCTCTTTCTGCACACCAAGGGGCAGCCCTTAAAGAGATTCTATAATACAAACACTACTTGAGAACTAAGGGCCCCTTTTCCTTGTCTCCAAGTGGTGTTTATCCGTCCCCTTCACAGTCATTTAGGAAGGATCCCTATTGAGAATCTCATAAGCTGATTTTTCTACATTGTTGATGTAAGCATTGAGCTATATAAATGATGTTGTATATATTTAGACCATTATTACAGGTAGCAAGAATTCCATAAATATTTATCCCTCCTTTTTAGACAGAGCATCATGAAGCTTTTGGGTCTGTTTTCAGCTGTTTTTAATTACTGCCCAGTATTGTCCTTAGCCATTCCATCTCAAGAGGCACAGTATTGATTCTTCGAAGTCACCAAAGGGGGCTACGTTGATTTTGCCTGTTATACGACATTCTAAAATATTAAGAAGAGTCACTAGTGACCCTTACAAATTAGCCTAGCTTTTCGACAGACCACACTATAGAAGTCCCAAGTGGCCTACACCCCCTGGATAGCTCAGAGACACTCAGAATTTTAGAGCTAGGACAAGTGGAATTTAGACAGGCTTTCCAAAAACTCAGTTATAATTTTTGACCTTTGGAGAACACTGATAGCCAGTGTTCTACTATCTCCTCAGGTCCCCTTAGATTTCTTGGGCCAGCCAGCCTTTCCACAGGTACTACAGAGCAGATCACAATCCCAGGGTGGATGAGTCTTGGCCTTCCTTTAGTTCCCTTGTAGGTAATCTGTGATGCATGCCTCTTAGACAGTGTGGCCCCTTTATAAGCAGAAATAATAATTACTACCATTTTTGAGCTTTCATCAAGGTAAGTACTTGACATGGCTTACCTTAGTTAATCATCACTATGTAGTAATTAACCCTAGTGTACAGTTGAAGTAACTGAGGTATAGAAGGCTAGTCATTTGCTTAACATCACATGGACAGTTGATATCAGAGCTAGAATTTGAATCCAGGCATGGTGGCTCCAGAACCGTCAGTGCTAATAACGATAGAATACAATGCATGAAGGATACCTATTATGTGTCAGGGGTTCTCCTAGGCATGGTCATATTCTGTTACTTTGTAATGCCTTCAGTATCACGAGCCATTTCTCAGCTAGAATATTTCTTTTCCCCCATTTTTAGTTCTGGCCTAAGCCTTGAAGATTCAAAGAAATTGACAGCATCTCCCAATGATCCCAAAGTAAAGAAAACCCCAGCTGATCAGCCAAAATCCATGCTTCCTTCAGAGGCCTCTCCTGTCAGAATAGGCCCAGTAGTCCCCCAGTCAGAGTGTACAGAGGCAGCATTGCAAATGCCGTCAGCAGGCAGACAAGAAGAGCACGAAAGCCCAGACAAGGCACAGCCAAACTTCTCCAAATCCACAGAGCCCCCACTTGCTTCCGCCAGCAATACACGTGAGCTTAGTAGCATTCTTCCCATCAAGTGCCCAAAGGATGAGGGTCTCTTGGAGCAGAAGCCAGTTGCCTCTGCTGAACAGGAATCTGAGAAAGAGAATCATCTCACCACAGCTTCTAGTCATAAGAAAAACGAAAGCCAAGAATCTTTGATTATATCCCCAAGCAAACCCAAGGGTCCTGAGGTGGAAAAGCCAATAATGAAACCTATAGCAGAAGCAGGTCCACAGGAGACCACTATGAAAGAACGTCCAGCAACTCTTGTTGATCAGAGCCCAGAAAGCCTCAAGAGGAAATCTTCTCTCACCCAAGAAGAGGCCCCTGTGAGCTGGGAGAAAAGGCCACGTGTCACTGAGAATTGCCAGCACCAGCAGCCATTTCAGGTCTCGCCACAGCCCTTTCTCAGTAGAGAAAGGGTCCAGGTGCGAAAAGTACCACCTCTCAAGGTAAGAGAGTGGGGAGAACTGAAAAGGAGAGATTGTGTACACATTATGTTTTTGGTCATACCTACTAAATTTCAAGTAATTTGTGGTACTTCTTAATGCAGAAGCAGTTGTATGTATTTGGTAAGCATGTAACTGTGGTCTTATAGGAATAAAATTACTGACAAACAGGCATTTAGAACTGCAGTGCTACAGATTTTTATTGATTGATAAAGAAGGTACCAGGGTATCTAATGTAAACTACTCCTGTGTTCACTATTCTTGTATCTTAAGACAGTTATGGAAATTGTTGTCTTACATGACAAAATAAGTACTAGACTAAGCATGAGGAAGCCATTGGTGTGATCGAAAGACCTTATCTTTGTACCAGGAGCCTGAGTATTTGTACCTTGGCCCTTTTCTTGCTACTGTAACTGATTTGATATTCTGTGGGTCTACCACTACCTTTACCTCCTTCCTATTTAAGGAAATGTGTGTGACTATCCTGTGTCACTGTGTCACCACTGTTTACTTGAGGGACATTAGTAAATGGAATAGTCTTGCTAAGCTCTGCTGCTTAGCATATGTCATTAACTTCTCTTTAGCCTTATGTTGCTACCTGTCAAATCTTTCAAATTCTTCTAGGCAGCATCTGTGACTATCTTAATATATAAAGCCCTTTAAAATCCAAACACATTTTTACTCCTGATCTTCAAGATTTATTAATATTTGGGCCTGTGCTTAATATCAGTTTGTAGTTCATTCATTTTGTAAATTGTATTTATTCATTAATACTTTTTTATAAATAATGTTTATTGATACTATTTTGCTTACCAAGAGCCCAAGGTACTGAGTTCTCGTTCGCGTTGGGATAGAAATAGAAAAATAAACCCAATAAAAGTACTTTTTCACCCTTTTTATTTAACTTAGATGAGCCAAAGTTAGTACTATCAGGAAATATTCCTTGGAAATAATTCACTTACTAGAACTTGACCCATGTTGTGTACTACTTGACTTCTCACAACTGTTTCACCTTAGACCCTATTTCAAATCTTACCTTCTTAGACAAAGCTCAGTGTAACTTATAACAGAATAAAATCTTTTAAACAAAATTTAAGTAGAAAACAAACTTGAAATTTAGTACAAATGTTACAAGTTAGTTACATGCATATGTGTATAAAAATTATATACATACATATGTGCACATTATATGTTTTACATTCAGTATGCAGCTGGCCCTCTGTTATCAGTGGGTTCTGCATCTGTGAATTCAACTAAACCACCTATTGAAAATATTCAGAAAAAAATAAAATAAAAATCGCAATACAACGGTTTTAAAAATACAAATAAAAATTATAGTATAACAACTATATTTGCATAGGTTTTACATTGTATTAGGTATTATAAGTAATCTAGAGATGATTTAAGGTATACAGGAGGGTATGCATACGTTAGATGCAAATACTGCACTATTTTATATAAAGGACTTGAGCATCCTTGGATTTTGGTATCCATAGGGGTCCTGGAACCAATCCCCTATGGATACCAAGGGACGACTGGACATTTAAAAAGAAAAGCATTTAATTCATTTGCTCTGCCAGGGTAGGGCTTCTCAGCAAGTTAAATTGTTTCTAGTACCTGGACAACGTAATGGTTTTGTACTTAGAAAGTATAATTTATTCTGCATAATTGGGCAATAGGGCTATTTACATAAATGACCGAAACTTATTTTTAAGTATTAAAACTTTTTATTTTAAAACCATTTTCAGTGATTGTTTTTGTTTGATTTCAACATGTTATTAATGATTTTTAGTTATTATGATAGATATTATTATGCTAGGTATGGTGTTACTCTTAAGAGTATTCTCAGGTTTTGTTCCCACATGAAATTCCCCTAAACAACTTTCTTGTATTTAATTTTTTAGTCTTACCTATTTTTTCCCATTTTTCCCCTGCAGTCTCTTCCAAATGATATTAATAAGGGGCAATAATTGCTTCTTTCTTACTGTGGGCAGCTTCTAAAGACTGTGTGCTAAGTAAATATGCATCTAGGCTTAGAATTGGATATAAAATAGATTTAGCTCTTAGATTAAGTATATTTCATGATGTTAAATTACATGGACTTTGTAAAATCTATTAAAAAAAAAAATCCCACAGCTCTAACTTTTAAATCACAGAGAATCAATTTTTCAGAACTGCAAACATTTGAAAAAATGGGTATTACAAATAATGGAAAATCTTTAGTGACTTCTTATTCTTAATTTAAGGATATGCAGAAGGATGGCATGCATTTTCTTAGAGCTTAGTGGCTTAATTTTTTTTAATTGAATGCTTTAGAACGTCTGTAACAGTTATTTGCTCCTTTAAACTCAACCAACAACTAGAAGGGTCTGCATCTTAATGCATTATAATTAACTCTAGTAGCTTTCAAAGTATTGTTTAGGACAGGGAGCAAATTCATTTCAGACATGATATTTTTGTGGTATGAAAATCAGTGATTTGAAACCTGATAGTACATCAAAATCTCACAAGTAGCTTTTTACAAATACACTTTTTCCTAGGGCTCCTAATTTGTATATTTTGGGATAGGACCCAGAGCATATATATTTTTTAAAAGCTGCAAAAGTAAATATAATACCAGCCAGGGGTGAGAATGGCTGGTAAACAGTATGTACATACTCCCTTATGTGGGTGGGCATAGTGGGGTGTACCTGTGGCTCACACATTGCCTTCCTTCTAGTGCTATCTGGAAGCCTCTGTAATTTGAGATAATTCACCTCAACTGTATGCATAGAACAAAGAAGAGCAACTGTTCCCCTTGGTAGTAAAGCTAAGCAGTAAAAGACAGTAATGATATAATTTTCTTTCTTTCTTTCCTTTTCTTCTTCCTTCCTTCTTTCTCTGCCCCCCCTAAACATAAACACACTTTGTAAAAATGTAGATACCATAGAAAGGTCTATATCTTAATAAGCAGTTGTGAGTAGTCGTGACATTAGGAGAGAGTTGTGTTGGGGAAAGAGGTGTGGGGATTTAAGGTGGGAGTGGAGGGAGGGAATTCTTTGGACCAATAGAAAAGGTGGAAGGAACCTAGAGACAAACTACATGTTGCTGTCTCCAAGGTTTGACCTCTCAGCCATAGACCTCCCATGTTTGTCACAGGTGCTGTAGTGTTCATCTATTCTAAAAATGTGTAAGGGCTGATTAAGGTATTCTTGTAAGTGAAAACTAAACTCTGTTTTTTCCCCCCTACTTCTTTCAGATCCCGGTCTCCAGAATCTCCCCCATGCCGTTTCATCCATCGCAGGTCTCTCCCAGGGCTTGTTTTCCAGTCTCCATCATTAGTCCTAACAGAACAGGAGCCAGAACTCTCGCAGACATCAAAGCAAAAGCCCAGCTGGTCAAAGCACAGAGGGCAGCAGCTGCTGCAGCCGCCGCAGCTGCTGCAGCCGCCTCAGTTGGAGGGACCATTCCAGGACCTGGCCCAGGGGGTGGACAAGGTCCAGGAGAGGGTGGTGAAGGGAAAGCTGCTAGAGGAGGCAGTCCAGGCTCAGACAGAGTCAGTGGAACTGGAAAAGGCCCCACACTGGAACTGGCAGGAACTGGAAGCAGGGGAGGTACGAGAGAGCTTTTACCCTGTGGTCCAGAGACTCAGCCCCAGTCTGAGACCAAGACCACCCCAGACCAGGCGCAGCCTCATAGTATCTCTGGAGCACAACTACAGCAAACCCCCTCAGTGCCTCCAACACCTGCCATCAGTGGAGCATGCACAAATGTCCCATCACCAGCCCACATAGAGAAATCGGATAATGAAAAACTGAACCCCACCAGGGCAACAGCCACAGTGGCCTCTCTTAGCCACCCACAGGGGCCCAGTAGTTGCAGACAGGAGAAAGCAACTTCTCCTCCAACAGGTCCTGCTCTAATCTCAGGTGCCTCATCTGTTCATTTTGCGGCTGATGGCACAGTTGAGCCCAAAGCCGGTTCTAGTAAGAATACACCAAACTCTTCAGCCTCAGCAAAGACAGATGCTAATGCACCAGTGGCTATGACTCCCTCCCCTTTAACATCTTTACTGACCACAGCCACTTTAGAAAAGCTTCCTGTACCCCAGGTCAGCGTAACTATAGCACCTACCGGATCAACTCCATCCTTGAGCTCTTTGCCAGCAGCTTCTAGCCTTAAAACCGCAGGAACTTCTTCAAACATGAATGGACCCACTTCAAGACCAAGCTCTAGTATCCCTGCTAATAATCCTTTAGTTACTCAGCTGCTCCAGGGCAAAGATGTTCCCATGGAGCAAATTCTGCCTAAACCTCTCACCAAAGTTGAAATGAAAACTGTTCCACTGACTACAAAAGAGGAAAGGGGGATGGGAGCACTCATAAGTACCAACACAACAGAAAATAGCACCAGAGAGGAAGTTAATGAGCGCCAGGCCCATCCAGCTACACAGCAGCTGAGTAAAACCTTACAGAGTAAACCGCTCCCTTTTCCAAGGCCCCTTCAGCTCTTTTCACCTAAGGAGCTGAGGGACTCCAGCATTGACACACACCAATACCAAGAAGGACTAAGTAAAGCAACCCAAGATCAGATCCTTCAGACTCTCATCCAAAGGGTTCGGAGGCAGAATCTTCTCTCAATTGTACCGCCCTCTCAGTTCAACTTCACTCACTCAGGTTTCCAGTTGGAAAACATCTCCACAAGCCAGAGGTTCATGCTGGGTTTTGCTGGCAGAAGGACATCCAAGCCTGCAATGGCAGGTCACTATTTACTTAATATTTCCACCTATGGCCGGGGTTCAGAGAGCTTTAGGAGGACCCATTCTATAAACCCCGAAGACCGTTTTTGTCTAAGTAGCCCCACTGAAGCCTTGAAAATGGGATATACAGACTGTAAAAATGCAACAGGAGATAGTAGCAGTGGCAAAGAAGATGATACTGATGAGGAAAGTACTGGTGATGAGCAAGAGTCCATCATGGTGAAGGAGGAGCCCCAGGTTTCCCAGAGTTCTGGCAAATGGGACACAAGTTCAGGACCCCACAGTAGGGAAACCCTATCCACCGGTGATTGCTTAGCTAACAAGACTGTGAAGGCTGAGACACCAGTGAATGAGCAAACCACTTTAAGCAAGGAGAATTACCTGTTCACTAGAGGCCAAACATTTGATGAAAAGACCCTAGCCAGAGATTTGATTCAGGCAGCACAGAAGCAAATGGCTCATGCAGTGAGAGGTAAGACAATGCGAAGCAGCCCTGAGCTTTTCAATTCCGCTGCTCTTCCTCTACCTGCAGACAGCCCCGCCCATCAGCCTCTACTCCTTCCACCACGGCAAACCCCAAAGCTGTATGGAAGCCCCACACAGATAGGGCCAAGCTACAGAGGCATGATCAATGTCTCCACCTCATCTGACATGGACCATAACTCTGCTGTACCGGGTAGCCAGGTATCTAGCAACGTAGGTGACGTCATGTCCTTTTCAGTGACTGTCACTACCATCCCTGCTAGCCAAGCTATGAATCCCAGCAGCCATGGCCAGACCATTCCTGTTCAGGCCTTTCCGGAAGAGAACAGCATAGAGGACACACCTTCAAAATGTTACTGCCGATTGAAAGCCATGATCATGTGCAAAGGGTGTGGAGCTTTCTGCCATGATGATTGCATTGGCCCCTCCAAACTGTGCGTCTCCTGCCTTGTCGTTCGGTAACGAGACTAGAAGGAGACACACTGCAAAGGCGGGGGAAGGGATGGGTTGACCAGATGTGTTTTTTTGCATCCTTTCGGAATCACAGAAATAAACAAGTAAGTTTCAGTTGTCTTAAGAGACAAATGTTACTTAATCAGGAATAAAGAGTACAGATCTTTTACATTTTAGAGGAAGAGCACCTTGTATAGTAAGTCTAAGTAATAAAGCAAGACTTTGTGAATTTGTGACAAGTTTGCACTTAAAAATCATGTAAATATGTCACATTTTGTTTAGCATTTTTCCAAGTGTTTAGGTAATAATGTGTTACTTTGAATTCAGATTTATGTTCCACTTCATGTGACTCTGAGAAAAGTTTAATGCCATGCATGGTGAAAGGAAGCTTTCTGACCTTTCCTAAGAGACCAGGAAAAGGAAGGAGTGAAGTAATGGTCTAAAGAAGTGACCATTCATGCTGATAGTCTGGCTGCAGGTCATTCATAGATTATTCAGCCTTTGCAGGATTTGGATTCAGAGTTTACTCAGTCCCCTTACCTTAGGTGGAAGCTTCTTAAGTTGAAGTATTTGATAAGATATTAATTTCACAGGTAATGTTTCAGATTCTGAAAGCTATGACTTGGTTCTTGGCTTCTGTAAACCAGTACTGTGGCCAAGCACTCTGCTTGCAGTTTGTGGATCCCTGCTGTTCCCTAGTCCCACCCCTGCCCTGACATAGTGAATGTAGTTTTTGAAGGGATTGCCTCTCCAGTACGCCGCCCCCGTGTCATTATAGCCTGTACAGGGCAACAATTTCAGCAAAAAAAATCCCCATACTTAGTCATTCATGGGAACTTACAGTTTTGAAATACTAGCATAAAATGAATAGAAAAGCGTTAGTGATGGGGTGATTTGAACTATGTATTGTTAGGCAAGGGAAATGAAACTGCAGAAACTGTTAAATTGAACGTAAAGAACTTTGTAGAACGATTTTAACACTAGAAACAAGGTAGCCTCTCTTTTCCTCTTCTCCCCCAACCCGTTACCTAATGTTCTATAGTCAGTTGTCACAGGTAAAAAAGCTCATTAATGCCACATTTGCTTATTCTGTTCAACCTGTTTTGACCTCCCAGGCATCTGAGGAGGATGACATAATCTTATCTCTTACTTTGCGTACACACGTGTGCGCGCACGCACACACACACAGAGTACACAGCACTTTTCCTGTTTTAGAAAATATGTCCCTGTTTTGGGTTACTGCTGTCTGTACAACTAAAAATTTCTGACATAAAGGAGCTTTAGTGAATGGCTTAGGGACTGCATGGAAAGGAGGAAAAATTAGCTCCAAAGTTTTATTGTTTGTTTTTGTTTCTTTTTCTTTTTTTGTTTCATTTTTTGTTTTTTAAATCCTTCTCTAGTGACTGAAGAATTTCTGAGTACATAATATTTAGGTCATGGTTAAGGAATATTAAAATAGACTTACAGTTTACCAGAATTTAGTAAATCAGAGAGTGTCAATTTGCATCGTTTGCATATTGATCTCAAGTCTCCCAATTGAAGTGTGTAAAGTAAAAATATTAGTGCAACATAGTACAGTTGTCTTTGTACTTAATATTCAGGATGTGATATTTACAAAATGCAGAACAGTTTAAATTCATTAATTAAGTCACATTCCAGATTAGGAGAAAGAAAGCAATAATAATCTCTGTTTTGCCCCCATTCTATTGTCCGCCCCTCCGCGCCCCAACCCCAAATCGTACACTTTTTTTTTTTTTTTTAAATGCTTTCCCACAGTCCTTGCCCCAAAAACCATAAGAAACTTACTTCACTATTGTTCATTTTTCATTTCTGGCTTTTTTGTGGCCCAAGACAAATATAGGGTTAATATCTGTGTCCCAGTTTCAGACAAGACAATATCATGTCCTTCCATCTTCCCCCTTTTCTTCCAGCACACACACAGCTAAGAGATAAGGCTGCAAGAATCCAGGGATAAAGAGTAAGTTCTCAAGCCAAGAACCAATAGGAAACAGAAATCATGGTTGTGCTCCAAATGTTCAGCACCCTGGGCAATCCAGGGGGTGAGTTTAGAAAGACTTAATGCCCAGCCATTCCATTCCCCACCTTAGTGCCAGGGCTGAGGGCTGTCTGCATGCTGGAAGAGGTTGGATGTTTCAGAATTGACTCCATGCTAAATATCAATTACCAATTTTGATTGATGAAAGTGATTTTTCTGCTGCGGCCCTTTCCTGTAAGAAAGGCTTTTCTCCATGGTTTTTGCAGTTGGACAGACTGTGACCAGGAAAGGAGGAAAGGCATCAGGGATTTTCAAGTCCATTCAGAAAGCAAACCATATTGTGCCTCTTCATCTTGACCCAGGCTCTTACAGATAGGTTCTAAGCATTGCTGTTCACCAGATTCTCTTCACAAATAGTACTCAGCTAAATATTTGCATTTAGGAATACTTGTAAAACAAAAATGACCAACTATGTATACTGCCTCAATCTTGACCAGATGAGAAAACAGTTTTAAATTATCTCAGATTGGTAGTAAATTGAATACCAGTCTATTTTTCAGTTTGTTTCAAAACAGTTGTTTCAAGTAGAAAGCCATTCATTCTATAAGCTGAATAGAAAAAACTTACATAATATCTGCCTTCTAGAAAATGAAGCAGGCAGTAGAAACAAAACATTTAAATTATTAGAGTATGGTACTCCAGCAGTACCTTTAAAGCAATTTTTAACTTAGCTCTTGAGTTGTTCAGTATGAAATGTTTTATTAAGTGCTAAGGTTATTCATAGGGTATTACCTGACATTGTTTCCAGTGACTGGTCAGGCATCATGCCTGATGCACATGCCTCCGGTGTACCCCTCTCTAGCCTTCAGATTACCCCCCCTCTGCTGCAGGTCACCTCAGGAGATAGCATTAATAATGTATCATCTCAGTCTTATTTATAAATATTCTAAGTTGTCTAGTAGAGAAGACTCTGAATCTGAAAGAATTTTCATTAATTAAAATTCCCCATTCTATTAAACAGACAGTGAAGCCAAATACCTGGAGGTGTTTGCCCTGCTTCTGTTCGCTTAACCCCTACGCTCAAGATACTGGAGCTATCTGTGGTATTCCATGGAGCATTTTTAAGATGAAGTGCTGGCCAGCGGGAAATTATTCTTGGGGTGGAGGAGGAAGTATACTTACATGGGTTGTGAAGGTACACAAATGTACGTGTTTTAGATCATATCTGAGATTTAAATAGCCAAAGGAAGTCCTCACTGCCTTCCAGGTGAAGGTGTAAAGTCATACAGATTAATGACCTGACAGTTACCATTCTGTTGCTTATTATTGCCTTTCTCCACCTTAGAGATCCCTAAAGAGCTCTTGGGTGAAATGATTTGTTATAATGAGAGGGTTCTTTTCCGGTCATTACATCGCTATTTATTTCTAGAACTCACTGTCAATGAACAGTGCTAGGGTTGTTTTCTCTTTGACTCAGAGGTTTCACAGCATAGCAAGGAGGGAAAAGTCTCCCCATTGCATTACAACAGTGCGCTAAGTAAAAAACTTGGCAAAGGGTAGTTTTCAGCTCAATTTATAGAATAGTCCAAAGAGACTTTGAGAAACATGATGATAGGCAGGGACCTTTCCTACCATGTTTCAATACCTACATACCTATTGAACGAGAACAGTAGGTAAAACATTTCCTAAAGTTGAAGCAATAGCTTCGTAGATTCTTGGTTACTTTATTTTTTTTAATGCTTTACATTTGATACAACTATTAAAGATCAATTTTAAAAATAGCTTTCCAGTAATATATTTTAAGTAATATATATTTTAATATCTATGTAAAAAGTGACAGTGGAAGACTTTGAATTTCTCATATATGGTATGTTTAATGTAGGACCTCACTGTTAAGGCACAAATTATTTCAAGGAAGTTACTCTAAAGACACTCAGATTATTTCCAAAAAAAAAAAAAATGCAATAAGGGAATAGTTTGGGGGTTTATTTTTTATTTTAAAAGAAAATTGACTTATTTACCACAAGCTATTTTTTTCCCTTCAGGCTATAAGGTTTGTACAGACTGGTTTGGTAAATGCTAAACTTTTGTGTCTTTTGCCTTTTTAAAGGAATTGTTAACATTGGAATTGAGGGTATGTACAGAGAAGTTGGTGTCAACACCATTTAAAAAGTCATATTTTTTCACAAATATAGAAAAATCATTTTACATAAGAATTTTAAGTATTTGCAATAAATATATGTATATAGATTGTATGTATTCCTATATTCTTATTTTCATTTTATTATTAAGTAAAAGATCATTAAAAGTGAAAATAAAAACCTTGGAGTTTTTGGTGAATCTGAGAGTGGCATGGGGAAGGGCCCCCAGTTGTTGCCTTATCTGCTATGGGAAAGATACCACAGATTGTATGGAAGAGAGTGAAACGAGGAATTTGGCGATAAACAAATCAGGGTAGTGTATTTCTTTTAGAACTTAAGTAAAAATATGATTAAATTGTCCTAGTCTGTCTGTCTCCATGTTTTCCTCGCTGATCTCTTCCGGCTCCTAACCACTTAATGTTACTGGAAAAGTGAAGAAACACGGTGCAGCCTCTTTCTTAACGTGCCCACTGTTTGCTTCTAAATCAAAGAATGGTAAGGAAATATCTCAAGGGAAAAAAATAGGTTTTCCTTTCTCCATAGTGGTTAATAATTCATTAGCAGACATTCACTGCCTCCACCTTCCGGGCCCTCGGAGTATGTGAAGTAATAGTCTCTTGAAGATAATGGAAAACTTTTTTTCTGTTTCCCAGTTCTCCAAGAAGTGAGGTTCATAGCCAAAGTCATGTCCTGACTGATCTGGAGAGGCCGAAGAGCTAAGAGGACCATGCAAAGAGAAATATCTGTGCCTTGATTAGGTTCTGTTTCAGCATTTGACACTTGAATTTTGAACTCCCTAGTGTCAGGAAGGGCACTTACAGAAATGAGAACTGAGCCAGGTGTTAGGAGAGGTTGACTGTCTGCAGTCCTGTACCTAGATTGCTGTCTAATCCAAGAGAACTCATTTTGTGGCTATAACGTAAATACTTGATTTTAGGATAATATGATGGAGCAAAATGATACCTAGGTCTTTGGAAATAAACATATATTGCCCATTCTTTAAAAAGAATAATGTGCAGATTCATTGATGAAAGAAAAATTATTAAGGTCCAATTTTCAAGAATATCTTGACCCATGAAACTGACTTTTTAATTGTAGTTCACTAGTGAGTTCTCCCCATAATTGCTCAGCTGTGGTTATTTTTACTGATTTTAAAAATTGGCATATTTTGGAAATTGAGGATAATGCTTTTTATAAAAAGACAATTTTTTTTTCAAAAATTGAAATTTCAAACTTCTGGATTGTCCAAAGACATTGGAGATAATTCAGCCATCCAAGAGAACAGTACTCTAGATCTTAGCTGAAAATGTACTATTTCTAAAGGAAAAGTTTTAAGTCTCAGGGAACATCTATCTGCATCTTCATAATTTCCATATAGAATAGGAATGAAGGTAAAATATCTAAATGTTTGCAAACTAGTTCATGATGACCATTTACAAAAATTGACTCCCCATTTCTAGTACATGTTTATTATTTAAATGGGCCTCCTACCTCATGGGAAGTAAAATTTATATTCATTTGGTGACATGGGAACTTAAAGGTATAGTTGGTCTGCAGCTGAGTGACAATATGCTAGAGCGGAGGGCAACTTCAGCCTGGTTCCCCAGCCACCCTCTGTTTACTTCAGAGAGTTTTAGGAACCTGTGTTCATTGCTTCTGACACTACTTGACTCAACTCGTCTTCAGAAGTCAGAGATTTTGCATCGTGTTTCTAGCTTTTTATGGACAAATCATGTCCATAAAAATGACAAATCATGTCATTCACAAATCCAAACATTTATTGAGCACCTGCTGTGTGCTAAGCCATATTAAAGTGCTGGTAATGCAAGGGTAAGCAAAAACAGTCCTGCAAGTTGTCAGAAGGTCTTCCTATAATAGTAACCGTACAGCATGGTTCTAGTTCAGTGCTCAAGGAGTGGCGCGCTCCTATTCCCCAAGACGTGGAAAGTTTAAGTGTAAATGAGTGTGAAATAGATACATCTGAGGCACAGGCAAAACGGTGGCAAAACATTAAGAAGGAAAAGAAGGCATTCAATGAAAAAACAGGCAGTGTGTGAGGAGTCGTGTGAGTAAAATTTACCCTTTTCTGAGAATTATTGGAATATCTGGAGTTGAATAGAAATTTCAAAAAGTCTGAGTAACATCTATTAATAAAAGATCCCTTTCAATTAATTCAGGTCAGTATGTCTATTTTTTTCAACTAACTTTCAAATAATAATCAGGTAAATGATACAGCTTTCCTGTCACTGTTCAAACCCAAAAGAAGCTAAAGAGAATTTTTTTAAACATAATTTTCATCTTACAGGTGATAAGGAACTGTATCCCTTCATTTTGAATTGTTGCATCCCTGTTTTTCTCCATGATGGATATTTTAGTGTTCTTACTTTTCTAATACCGGCCTTTTTTCCTATATCTTAAGTCACAGAACTTAAAAAGGACTTCAGTGGGAGTCTAGCCCTTTTCATTTTAGTGGCCCAAATCCTAATTCTTTAGAAGTTTCTGATAGAAACATTTTAAAAGGATAAACCATTGTTTTGTTGTTATTTTTCCAGTGCTTACTCTTGGATTTTCCTTACCACTGTCTTTAATCTGGATTATTGGATTTGCAACTCAAATTCTGTATGCCAAAATATTCGTATTCACCTTTTAGTCAAAAGTGTGTGGTGTATTCCGCTATGTAATGTAGTCTCAACTGTCTAGGAAGTAAGAGAATGGGTATCCTCTATTTTCCTAATACTTGGTTCAACAGAAGATTGGGTTTCTTTCATAGAAACACTAAGGAGTACTTTGTACCTCCTTGTAGCTTTCAGCCTTAACCTAAAAAGGGAATCTCTAGAAGGGGATCTCCTTATAACAGGAAGGACAAACAAAGCCTGAAAAAGAGCCAGACATCAGCTGTGAAGATGGGCTGTGGCTAGACGGTTCTCCTGAAGAATAACTTCAAACTCATTTTCCTTGTTCTTCAAACCCAAAAGAAACTGAAGAGAATTGTTAAAAGCCATATCCTGATATTCATCTTAACGGTAAAACTTAGAGGATGCCTTGGGAAGGAGAAAGATAAGCCTGGGATTTGATTGTAAGTGGATTTAAGTAAACTTTGAGTTACATGGCTTATTCTATTTTTCAATTTTTTTTTTTTGAGGTTTTGAGTTCACTTGACATGTTGAATTTCTTAAGTGTAACATGGAATTTGAGACATTGTGTGGGCTAAGGAATGGTTTCCTATTGAACTGTGGCAGCTTTTGCTGCTAATCAGGATTTAGGATTGTGTACCTTTTTGAGTAAAATGGAAGTTGCCTTCCTAAACAGTGTTATTAGACCAACTTAAGCCCACATTTAATTTTATTAAATTTAATCAGGGATCCTCTTTTATATTTAAGATTCAAATTAGCCCAATAAGAGCAGTACATTATATGTTATCAAAATATCTGAAGATACGACTGCTATTTTACACACAACCTATGTTCTTCCTATGGAAAG